CACCCCCCGGGGGGCCAAAAAAAAAAAAAAAAAAAAAACAAGACGACTCCTGGGAATTTAAGAGCTGAGGAGGGAGACAGTCCGATAAACGACGGCTGAACAACATGTTGACAAGAGCGGAGCTTCTCAATGCCTCATTAAACTCCAGCAGTGTCAAGCTCAACACAATTTACCTGTCAGCGGCTGCATAGCTGCACTTAGGCTTCGGAAGAAGGTGCGGGAGTTTGCCCCTCGGACTTCACCTTTCAGTTTAGTCACATTGGTGGCTGTCAAGCACCTCGCTCGGTTTATCATTTTCACACAGGCGCCAACAAAACCTCTTTTTTTTTTTTTTTTTTTACGGCGCTGATAGTACATCTGAAGGCAGGGCGTTGGGGGGGAAGAGGTCCTTTCACATCGAACGGCGACACAACAGGGGAAAGAGGAAAGCTTTTATTTGTTTAATTTGATCAAGTATGGGTGAGCGGACTTAGAAATGGAAATAAAATAAATGTCCATATAAAATGTCAAATCGCCTAATTTAAGAATCATTTTATTCCAAACTAATTTAATCCAAATTAATCTGTTGATTTTTTTAAGGAATAAAAATGTTACACATTTATGACCTTATTATACTCTTTTTTTTTTTTTGTCTATTCAATAAAGGTATTAGCATTATAAAAATGTGTACATATACATTCAACATTTTTGTTTGATTAAATAATTGGGTAATGGATTTATTTTAAATATGAACAATTTGGAAATTTACTTTTATTAATTAATTTTTATTAATCACCGATAGGAGATTAAAGATATTTGAAGAGGGATGCTGAATGAACAGCAAAATTATGGTGACGAGCAATCCTGCAAACTCTTTTTTTTGGCAAGGTAAAAATGCTTACGAATGCGGGGAAAAATACAAATCGCTCTATATGACATTACAATATAAACCAAATGAAGTCATATTAAAGACGAACTGATTGATTGTAAATAAGGAAAAAAATGTCAACGTTTCCGTTTATCAACAATCACTTAATGAGGTCCAGTCTGATCTTCGCTCGACCTTTCCGTCCGATTCATTTTAGCCGCCTGCGGAACTGTTGAAGTTGCTTCACTTAGGATATGTTGCCCCTGAAATTGCTCCATGGACACACGAGCGCGTAAATAGCGACATGCAACCTCGACTCACGTGGACAACTTGCCATGTTTTGATTAACAGTTTGTCACATCAGATCTGTCAGCTTCCCGTTTTGTGGTTTTTAGCAGAAGTTGTGGAGAATTTTTTTTTTTTTAAAAACAGAAGTGGTAGTAAAACCGTTGTCGTTTCATGTGCACAGTCGGTTAGGAGGAAGGTGGGGCATTTTTTTTTTTGTCATAGCACCTTTTAATGAGGGCTCCACGATATTCGCAAAACATACGATATGGATGTTTGTAGTGCTCAATATTGATGCGATGCTTAACATGCACCTCAAGAAATGACATTTTTATAATCTAATGGAAGAGGTAAATCTTTTTCCACGTTGTTTTGGAAGAAAATGATTGCACGTCTTTGCGGTATGCGTATTGCATAGGCCATGATTGCGAGAAGATATTTTTTGGACACACTGTGCAGTCCTACTTTTGATGGTTGAAGATCAGGAGTACGGCCCACATATTGCCTCGATCAAACTTGTCATCTTACTATTTCAAATTTCACAATTCAAGCTTCACAATGAACGTGCCTCGTACATTCCTTCCAGTATTGTTTTAATTCATGGTATTCCAAATTTAAAAATACCAGACCTGCGAAGTTCCGCCACATTGAAATACATTTCACTGATTCATCTGTGCGCTCACGTGATTTGTACACATCATAAAGCTCGCTGTTCAAGCCTCGCTCGCGCGCTCTTTGTAAAGAACGATACATTGTGCTGTCTTACCTGTGCGGCTGAGCGGGGCCCTCGTCTCGTTGCAACGTCGTTGCTCGGCTCGCTTACCCCATACTTATTTCCGCCCTGTGGGACCAGAGCAGCCAACGGAGGGACCGGAGGGGAAAGTGGGTGGTTGCCAAGTAAGCTCGAACCTGTGGAGGGGAAAACAGAAAGAAAGAAAAAAAAAAAAAACACGACAGAGTCAACAGCAGCATAAAGAGACAGGAAGCGGTAGAACTGGAAGGCTCAAATGACTTTCCCCATCATCCTCTTGATGTGATTACAGTGATGATGGCTTCAACACAAGCGTCCTCCCTTCATTAATTGAAACAGTGCACACTCCCAATTTCAAAGACTTTATCATTTGAATACAATGGGACCTTGTAATGACTGTCGACGTCTTAGAGTTGCTCAGGTTATTGCTAGGAAGGCAACTAGTCAATTCATGATCCGTGCAACGAAAGTGGCAGTGACTCTGGTTTATTCCAAATCACTCAGGAGGAAGAAAACTTGAATCTTGAGCCGCAGGATTTGTGCCACAATCACAAGTACGTAAGAGGAAATTTCGAGTACAACGGCTTGTTTTGAGTGCAAAAAGAATCCTTTTTTTTTTTTTTTGAGCCGAGTTGAAGTTAGCTGGAGCTAACAAAGACGCACGAGCGTTTGCCCGCCTGATGTACGCGCGCTGAATGAAAGTGGGCTTTAACTTTGTTCACATAAACGACCATTTCATACTTTGCAATAAGCTCATTTGATGAAAAGTGATCTGCCACTGGATAGATCAGGGCTCTCGTCTTTGCTAATTGTTTTGCGCCGGTTGCATTGGTGTGCCCAATTGTTTTTCTTCGGTGCATTAGCACAAAAGTTAGTTGTACCCAAATTTGCCACTGCATCACATTTGATGCCGCTATTTAATATGTTCTCTCCTTTTTTTAAACAAAATTGCTGCTAGTCTTTTTTTAGGTAATATTGATATCTCATCATCCGCAGTTACAGTGTCTCACTAGCTAGCTCACTCAGCGAGGCCTGTCACAGTATCTTATATTTTAGAACGATTCACTTGTCCAAAAACTAGCATGATTAACGATAATAATGTTGTTCTCTTAAGCGGCTGTTATGATCGCGCAGTGACTCCCAACTAGTAAGCCATGGCGCAATAGTGTGCCGTGAAAGATTATCAAATGCGCCGCAGGAAATTAGCCAGTGTTAGTTATATGGACAAAAAAAAAAAAAAAAAAAAAAACTATGTCCAATTAAAAACTGTTTTTGTTCATTTATCTACGCCAACCACCTGTCGCAAGACCCAGAACAATCAAATGCTCTTCCATTGGATGACAGAAGTTACATAATTAACCTGTGCATCCACTTTCTGTGAACCGTTTTGCCAAGTCTGCGCCGTAATATTTTTTTCTGATGGCCTGAGTCAGTAAAAGTTGGGAAACACTGTGATAGAGCAATTTAGAGTATATCCTTTGCAAGAACAAAGAACTTTTCCCCCTCGCAAGACTATTGAACATTAGCATTGAAATATGGAACAATAAATAAGGTATCTTAGATAAATAAAAAATATATACAGTAAGTATAACAGAGTCAGACTGTGTTCACAAAAAGTGTACTAAAGCAAATATTAAACATTTGGCATCGAGGTAGAGAGAGTCACTAAAACCTTCCTCCCCCACCCTTCTAAAAGGCTGGTCGCACTGGTGCAACCAGTCTTGGTCGAGAGACCTTGTAGGTAAAAGGTGTCTAAGTCAAGGAGTTCCTCGTCTGCCGCGCTAGCTCCAGTGTTAGCCAGCCCTGACCCAAACCTTTAGCATTGCACTAAATCCACAATTGAGGAAGTAAAACAATTAAATATGTCTAAGTCCAATGAGCCTCTTCGAAAGTGAAATTAGAGCTAACATGTTGAAATAAGATAAGATATCCTTTATTTGTCCCACACTGGGGAAATTTACAATGAGTGCCAAGACAAAGCCAAATCTCATTCCGCACGTGTTAAAACGCCTTTCTGGTGAAAGAGTGAGAGTACAAGACTGGCCTGCCAGCAGTCCAGACCTGTGTGGTGCATTATGAAGAGTAAAAAAATTGACAATGGCGAGACCAGACTGATTTACAGCTGAAATTGTATATCAAGCAAGAATGGGAAAGAATTCCACCTCCAAAGATTTAGCGAGTAATGTGCTCAGTTTCCAAATGTTGTTAAAAGGTGATGTAACACAATAGTAAACATGACCCTGTCCCAGCTTTTTTTTTGGAACGCCACAAAATTCGAAGTTAATGATTATTTGTTGAAAACAATCACATTTATCAGTTTGGACATTAAATATTTTGTCTTTGTAGTATATTGACCATGATTTGTAAATCATTGTATTCCATTTTTATGAATGTTTAACACAACGTCCCAACTTCATCGGAATTGGGTTTGTAGCGTTGCGGGAACTTTTCTCACTTTGTGGTTGATTTCAAGACGTGCTGTTGAATTATATTGTACACGGGGGGGGCTATCATAATTCATCATTTCATAATACAATACAGCATGAGAGCAAAAGTAATCGTTCATACCTTGCTTTCCGATTCAACACTACATTACTGGTATTTTCTTCTTCGGTGTCTTTCTGTTTATTTGTCCTTTTCAAGGAAGGTGGCGGTAATCATTCTGTGAATTTTTCAATCATGAACTATTTGCTGATTCGATCTCCTCAACCAAAGGAAGCTTATCGGGCTTGGAATTCAGCTTTCTCAAATCCAATCCAATCCCAGTGATTGCAAACAAGGTTGCTGATTAACTAAGGTGTTCATGCAGAACCCCCCACTTCAGTCACCAACTAAACTCACGTCTGTTCTATAATCCGTGCACCTTGTATTTATTTCACATGTTGTATTTGCGCATTTGCTTGTGCCCATTAAACAAATAAAAATCAACTCGGTGGCGACTGAAAAACAACTCTGAAGTTGGGGCAAATGTACGTCAAGGTCCCACTGTACGTTAGTTTTGACAACATTCTCAGAAACTCCCTAGAATGTCAACGCTGAAGAAACCCGGGCCGCATACATGCCTTTCGTGTCAATTTATCTCACGCATCTGCACAACTAGCAATTAACTGGTCTTAAGTGGGATCAAAGGCTCCTAAGAGGATGCTATGGCGCTGAATTTGGGCCCAGCAGCGCCATAAATAGACAAGTGGCGCTGGAGCACCAAATACCGACAGTCCATGACACTATTCACACTTCTGATGTCTCTCACACACACACACACACACACACACACCTTTCGTGTCAATTTATCTCACGCATCTGCACAACTAGCAATTAACTGGTCTTAAGTGGGATCAAAGGCTCCTAAGAGGATGCTATGGCGCTGAATTTGGGCCCAGCAGCGCCATAAATAGACAAGTGGCGCTGGAGCACCAAATACCGACAGTCCATGACACTATTCACACTTCTGATGTCTCTCACACACACACACACACACACACACACACACACACACCCACACACACACACACACACCAAGACACAGCACACACAAACAACAATACACAGCGCCTGTGTGGTGCATTATGAAGAGTAAAAAAATTGACAATGGCGAGACCAGACTGATTTACAGCTGAAATTGTATATCAAGCAAGAATGGGAAAGAATTCCACCTCCAAAGATTTAGCGAGTAATGTGCTCAGTTTCCAAATGTTGTTAAAAGGTGATGTAACACAATAGTAAACATGACCCTGTCCCAGCTTTTTTTTTGGAACGCCACAAAATTCGAAGTTAATGATTATTTGTTGAAAACAATCACATTTATCAGTTTGGACATTAAATATTTTGTCTTTGTAGTATATTGACCATGATTTGTAAATCATTGTATTCCATTTTTATGAATGTTTAACACAACGTCCCAACTTCATCGGAATTGGGTTTGTAGCGTTGCGGGAACTTTTCTCACTTTGTGGTTGATTTCAAGACGTGCTGTTGAATTATATTGTACACGGGGGGGGCTATCATAATTCATCATTTCATAATACAATACAGCATGAGAGCAAAAGTAATCGTTCATACCTTGCTTTCCGATTCAACACTACATTACTGGTATTTTCTTCTTCGGTGTCTTTCTGTTTATTTGTCCTTTTCAAGGAAGGTGGCGGTAATCATTCTGTGAATTTTTCAATCATGAACTATTTGCTGATTCGATCTCCTCAACCAAAGGAAGCTTATCGGGCTTGGAATTCAGCTTTCTCAAATCCAATCCAATCCCAGTGATTGCAAACAAGGTTGCTGATTAACTAAGGTGTTCATGCAGAACCCCCCACTTCAGTCACCAACTAAACTAACGTCTGTTCTATAATCCGTGC